TTGGTGTTGCTGCTGCTGTCTTGGTGTCCCACTGCAGCAGCAGCAGCAGCAGGAGCAGCAGCAGCAGGAGGGGTAGCAGGCGCTGCTGCTGCTGCACGTCGCGCTGTAGAAGCACGAGACGGCACAATGGCGAGAGTCTCCCGCAGCAGCAGCAGCAGCAGCGTGTGCTGCACTGGGGGTGGCAGCGGGCAGCAGCAGCCGCACCTGCTGCAGCTGCTGCTGCAGGGAGCAGCAGCAACAGCGATAGCAGCAGCAATAGGCCGCAGAGCAGCAACGGCCTGCTGCAGCAGCGCGTCCCCGACAATGGCTCGTAGGAGCTGCTGCACTTTGCTGCTGCTGCTGCTGGGGTAGCTCTGCAGCAGCAGCAGCAGCACACCAACTGCATGCACAGCTGGAGACAAGAAAACAGAAGCAGGATGAGGCGAGCAGACTAGCAGCTGCAGCAGCAACTGAGGCAGCTGGCTTCCTCCCTTCAGGTCCGTCTCTGCTGCTGCTGGCAGCAGCGTAGAGAGGAGTACTGGCACGCAGCATTCGGCAGCTGCTGCTGCGGCTTGCTGCTGCTGATCCAGCTGCTGCCGCTGCTGCTGCTGCTGGGAAGATACTGTCTGCTGCTGCTCATCTTCTTTTGTGTCCCCCGAAGCGTCGTCTGGAGAGGAAATGCAGCTGCTGCTGTCTGCGGTGCTGCTGCTGCTGCCACAGTTGCTGCTGCTGCTGCTGCTGCTTCTGCTACAGCTGCCGCTGCAGCAGCACCTGCTGCACGAGCCAGGCAGCAGCAGCAGCCAGTTCGCTCCGTAGCTGCTGCTGCGCAGTTTGAGTGCTTCAATCAGCCACAACAGCAAATTGCTGCTGCTGGCTTGAAATGCAATCTCTTCGTCGCTGGCAGCAGCAGCAGCAGCGGCAGTTGCTGCTGCTTCACTGTCTCCTTCTGCTGCTGCTTCTGCTGCCTCTGCTGCTGCTGCTGCTGCTGCTGCTGCAGGAGTAGGCCTTGGTCTGAAGTTGCTGATGCAGGCCCAGGCGTGGAGCTCAAGCCAGCCGGTGAGGGGGAAGGGGAGCCAGCTCGTCGGCATCTCCTCCTCCCGCTGCAGCGACAGCTGCTGCTGCTGCTGCTGCTGCTGCTGCAGCTGTTGCTGCTGCTGCTGGTGCTGCTGTAGTTGATGCTCCAGCAGGCTCAGTTCCTGGCAGACTGAAGGGCAGTGCTGGGTGTCGCATGCATGCCGCAGCAGCGGGAGCCTCGCAACTGTTGTCAGCTGCTGCTGCAGCAGTTGAGGCTGCAGCTGCTGCTGCTGCTGCTGCTCTTGCTGCTGCTGCTGTTGCTGCAGCTGCTGTTGTTGCTGTCGCTGTTGTTGGCGCTTTTGGTGGGGCCTTTGCTTCCCGCTGCGTGTGCCTGCTGCGTGTGCAGCAGCCACAGCAGCAGCAGCAGCGGTTGCTGCTGCTGCTGCTGCTGCTGCCTGCTTCTTTGCGTTCT